TATCACTGTTAAAATAGTGCGCAATACATCAATTGTAGAGTGATGTAGAAATACCACTGTTAAAATAGTGCTCAATACGTCAATTGTAGAGTGATATAGAAATACCACTGTTAAAATAGAGCTCAATACATCAATTGAAGGGTGATATAGAAATATCACAGTTGAAATAGTGCTCAATACATCAATTGTAGAGCGATATAGAAATACGACTGTTAAAATAGTACTCAATACATCAATTGAAGAACGATATAGAAATACCACTGTTAAAATAGTGCTCAATACATCAATTGTAGAGTGATGTAGAAAAACCACTGTTAAAATAGTGCTCAATACATCAATTGTAGAGTGATATAGAAATACCACTGTTAAAATAGTGCTCAATATATCAATTGTAGAGTGATATAGAAATACCACTGTTAAAATAGTGCTCAATATATCAATTGTAGAGTGATATAGAAATACGACTGTTAAAATAGTACTCAATACATCAATTGAAGAACGATATAGAAATATTACTGTTAAAATAGTGCTCAATACATCAATTGTAGAGTGATGTAGAAAAACCACTGTTAAAATAGTGCTCAATACATCAATTGTAGAGTGATATAGAAATACCACTGTTAAAATAGAGCTCAATACATCAATTGTAGAGTGATATAGAAATACCACTATTAAAATAGAGCTCAATACATCAATTGTAGAGTGATATAGAAATACCACTGTTAAAATAGAGCTCAATACATCAATTGTAGAGTGATATAGAAATACCACTGTTAAAATAGTTCTCAATACATCAATTGTAGAGTGATATAGAAATACCACTGTTAAAATAGTGCTCAATACATCAATTGTAGAGTGATATAGAAATACCACTGTTAAAATAGTGCTCAATACGTCAATTGTAGAGTGATATAGAAATACCACTGTTAAAATAGTGCTCAATACATCAATTGTAGAGTGATATAGAAATATCACAGTTGAAATAGTGCTCAATACATCAATTGTAGAGCGATTTAGAAATACCACTGTTAAAATAGTACTCAATACATCAATAGTAGAGCGATATAGAAATACTACTGTTAAAATAGTACCCAATACATCAATTGTAGAGCGATATAGAAATACTACTGTTAAAATAGTGCTCAATACATCAATTGTAGAGTGATATAGGAATGCCATTGTTAAAATAGTGCTCAATACATCAATTGTAGAGCGATATAGAAATACTACTGTTAAAATAGTGCTTAATACATCAATTGTAGAGTGATATAGAAATATTACTGTTAAAATAGTGCTCAATATATCAATTGTAGAGTGATATAGAAATACCACTGTTATAATAGTGCTCAATACATCAATTGTAGAGTGATATAGAAGTACTACTGTTAAAATAGTGCTCAATACATCAATTGTAGAGGGATATAGAAGTACTACTGTTAAAATAGTGCTCAATACATCAATTGTAGAGCGATATAGAAATACTACTGTTAAAATAGTACTCAATACATCAATTGTAGAGTGATATAGAAATACCACTGTTAAAATAGTGCTCAATACATCAATTGTAGAGCGATATAGAAATACTACTGTTAAAATAGTGCTCAATACATCAATTGTAGAGTGATATAGAAATACCACTGTTAAAATAGTGCTCAATACATCAATTGTAGAGCGATATAGAAATACCAATGGTACAATAGTGCTCAATACATCAATTGTGGAGTGATATAGAGATACTACTGTTAAAATAGTGCTCAATACATCAATTGTAGAGCGATATAGAAATACCACTGTTAAAATAGTGCTCAATACATCAATTGTAGAGCAATATAGAAATACCACTGTTAAAATAGTACTCAATACATCAATTGTAGAGTGATATAGAAATACCAATGTTAAAATAGTGCTCAATACATCAATTGTAGAGCAATATAGAAATACCACTGTTAAAATAGTGCTCAATACATCAATTGTAGAGCAATATAGAAATACCACTGTTAAAATAGTGCTCAATACATCAATTGTAGAGTGATATAGAAATACCACTGTTAAAATAGTGCTCAATACATCAATTGTAGAGTGATATAGAAATACCACTGTTAAAATAGTGCTCAATACATCAATTGTAGAGCAATATAGAAATACCACTGTTAAAATAGTACTCAATACATCAATTGTAGAGCAATATAGAAATACCACTGTTAGAATAGTGCTCAATACATCAATTGTAGAGTGATATAGAAATACCACTGTTAAAATAGTGCTCAATACATCAATTGTAAAGTGATATAGAAATACCAATGGTACAATAGTACTCAATACATCAATAAGCCAGTTCGGAACTATATGTGTACATACAAAAAAAGCCAATTCCCTTCTTCCGCCTCGGGATAAACAACATCAAAAATTTCTCTTTGGGACTACTTTATCAGACCTTCCATGGCAGGCCTGCGCCTAAGTGCTTTCACATTTGAAATCTCAACCTGGAGAGTTGTCCTCCATAAAGTCAGTCTGCCACCAACTGGCACTCCCAGATCCAGAAAGCTAGTACCATCATATTTTTACAACTACTAAAAGACTTGTTACCTTCCTGATAACTTTTCCCTCCAACATTTTGGCGATTTTATTTCCTTTTTCTGCATCATCATGTCGTAGCTTTTCCACCTGAAAATACACAATATAAATATTCATCAATCTATAAATTATCACCTTTTGCAAAATTGTGATTAAAATGCTTCGAATTAGTGGAATTTAAGTTTTTATAATATTTACTCACCAAATCGACAACCTCACTGTAAACATCTTGGGGTACAGGATAGGAGCATAGATTGACAGATTTAGCTCCTATACTGTCACGTCCCAGAGCAGCGTAATGTTGTAGACCATTACATGATCCATCCTATAATATTAAACAATAATGGTTAGCTATAATCATCAGAAAAAGTTCAGACTAAAAAAAATGTGGATTCTTCGCAATTCCTGAAAAAGATGCCAAGTTGACAAACTAAAATACCAAATTTAAGATTATTAGCTATATGGAAATGAAATGAAATGAATGGAGTTTTACGTCCTACTTTTCTGCACCTTGTGGGCTAATGAAGACGGGCAACGCCATGCAGGGTGCCATGAGGGAAATTTTGCCAGGACAGCGGCATTAGCCTGCTCTTTTTCGATTTCCAACTGTTGAGGGATCTTTAACGTGCACACAGAGCTTCGGTTCATTGTCCCATCCGAACGACGCTTTTTCCATGTAAGCCCCTCTTACCTGCATCACTGACAGGGGCAACCGTGTTGAAAAATCCGAAGGTATTATCTCGACCTATGTCAAGATTGAACCCTGGACCTTCAGGTTAGCATGCAAGTGTCTAACTCACTGAGCCACCGCGGCTCCCATTAGCTATATGGAATTACTGAAAGTGCTGCAAGGTTGACAAAAATAAATACCAAAATAAATATGTTGACTCTCTGAAAGGAATGTTGACAACCCCAAAAAGCAAACAGACATATGTTGCTACATTTGATGTAAGCCCAATAATTTGACAAGTTGACCCTCAGCTCTCAATCTATCCACATGATAAATAGAGAGGGCCACCATATTTCTTCACCTACCCTGAACCCTTATCAGAACTACTAATTCTATCAGGTGATACAGGATAATATGAGAGCAAGGATTTCATCATCATTGGATCAACTTGTAAATAAACATGACCATTCTTAAAATTTGAATTTTGAATCTCTGTAATTTGCAGTTTTTCCTTCCTCGCTTTATTAGGTTTTATTTTTAAATTCTGCCACTTCAGATAGGATCTAAAGACAGGTCTATCGTACATTCAAATGTTTGATGACCCCATCAGCCAATCAAATTACACCCCTCTCCAATGCTGGGATTGTGTGACATGATTAAAAGGTGCATTCAGTGCTATGCCGGAATACACCTCTAGTTCGCGTCACAAAATCCCAGCGTTGGAGGGGAAAGAAATTTGAACTACATACCTGATGGACTGGAAAATGTGAGATAAATTTGGTATGATCTGGGCTACGGATAGCCTTGGTTATTTCCATACAGCAGGCCAATACTTGCCATGGTTCCTCACGATCTTGCCACCACAGTTTACCCTGGATCAGATAACAACACAATATATTTATAAACATACATAAATAGGACTGGTGATTGGGCAAATCAAATGAATGGAGTTTTACATCCTACTTTTCTGTACATAGATCATTGGCATAAGTAAACAGTCAATGCCATACAGTATGCAATGAGAGAAGGTGTGTTGTCATTATCAACTCTTCCCAACATTTGTCGAACAGTTTACCAATATTTTTCCAACCTATTCTGTCTACACTTAAGCAACATTTCAACAACATTTCAACAACTTGTTGGAGAGAAATTAGCAGAAAGGAACGAAGTTGGCAGCAAAATGGACTCAGAGAAGGAGAGATGTGTTTTGGATGCCTCAGCAGTAATTTCTGCTCACTTTGAAATTTTTTTATCATTTTACACACCACACACAGAGAGAGAGAGTGAGTCCCCTTGACATTTCTGTGGCCTTTAATCAACCCATTCCCACTGCTGTTAATCACTCTGTTGTCATTTTGTAATATCTTGGTTTACAATATTGCAATATTGTGGTCTGAAAATGCTAAGTCTGTATCAAGAGTTAACTACTATGAGAGGTTAGTGGCTAGCTTGAATAAAAATGCAAGTCATAAGTTCAGTGAGGATGTTTTATCTCTGAATTCAAGCCATCTTGGAAAATTGACCCAACAGGTTTGCCATTTTCAGAGGTTGATTTTGATCTTGAATATATGTAAATGGTCTTCAGAAGTTCTAGAAATGTATGAAAATTGGATTATTCTGGAAACACATGAATTTCAATGCTCGAATTTTAACAGTGATATATGAACACTGAACTGATAATCTTGGCTAAAAAATTCATGTTTCTGAGACTAAAATATGATTGGACAAACTGATGATCCGTTAAATTGATACCAACCTAAAATAAAATAGTACAAACCGTCATGGGATAGTCAGCTGAATCTTGAATTTCTTCTATCAATGTCTCCGCAAATTTCAACCGTTCAGCATTCGAACTTCTGCAAAACAAATCAAGACACAATTAAATTATACAAATCAAACACAATTAAATTATACAAATCAAGACACAATTAAATTATACAAATCAAGACACAATTAAATTATACAAATCAAACACAATTAAATTATACAAATCAAGACACAATTAAATTATACAAATCAAGACACAAGACACAATTAAATTATACAAATCAAGACAAAATTAAATCATCAGATTATACAAGGATTCTGTTGCTTAGTTATGACACCTGGCCACACATTCTTGAAACGTTCTTAGCGCTAGGTTATCCTAGATTCAATGTTAGAAGATAAGGACCTAGGACATCCTAGCGCTAAGATCTTTTCGAGAATATGTGGCCAGGTAAGTCCACTGATGAATATATACACTTATACACCAAGTTTGAGAATTCAAATTTAGAAAATCATTAGTAGGTAGTATTCTTTTAAAGCCCTGGTTCTCAACCTGGGGTGTTTTCACCCCCTGGGTTGTGGGACTAGGGTGTCAGGGGTGTGGCCAATTGGTGTAGGAGAAGAATTTATTTTGAATTGAGAGAGCATCCCACATCATCACATGCTGGAAATGTGGATGAAACAAATTTTTGGGGTGTGAAAAGGTCCATGGGTGTGAAGGCTGCTTTAAGGGGTAAAATAAAAGACAAGACTAGCCGGTAGACAGGATCCTTTGTGAACTTAAAGGGCCAGAGGTTGATTTGAGAATAGAAAATATGTAAATAGTCTTCAGGTGTACTAGAAATGTATAATTCCTTCAAAAATTTCTCAAACAAGGAATTTTACTCACTATTTCTATATGTCTTTTCTATATATCACAACAGAGTAAATTGACGAATCGTCATTTAAAATTTAAACGCAGATAATTCTAGACACACATGGATTTGAAGGCTCAAATTTTGACGGTGAGCTGTGAACATTATTATTAATTAGCTTAACTAAAAGAATTCTCGTTTCTGAGACTAAAGTATGATTGGTCAAAAAGAATATCACAGAAGTCCCTTTAAGTTGTTCATGTTGTAAAAATCGTTGTTTATTTCTGTCTTACCTTTTCCTTAAGCCAATTAAATTAACGAGATGAATTTTCAACCAGTCTAAACCATCAGGGCCCAGTGGTCTCCCCTTAGCAAACATCAACATTCCCCGAGAAATATCAGAACCTGTTCAAATAAATAAAACATACTTTAGTTTTATATCATACTTATTTGTTCTTCTTGGACAAATATTAGATATTTCGTTTCATTTTGGTATATCAGTGTACTAACGACTAGTTGACTTGAGAGTAAGCAATACTAAAGCAATAAACTGTTACCCTGTCTTTAAAACGTAAATATAAGCAATAAACTGTAACCCTATGCTCGTTATGGTCGTATATCAGGACAAAGATTGGCTGGAAAATTAAATAAATTAGCATTCATTATTAATTTTCCAGCCAACCTTTGCCCTAATATAAGACAATAACCGCTTTATCGTAACAGTTTATTGTTTATATTTACGTTTTCAAGACATTCTAATTTTGATACAAAGACTTTAGTATGAATTTAAGTAGGGCCTATTTCTTTATGTTTCAACGTTTGGGACTACCGACATTGGAGACCATCATTGGTTAAAATTACTACGCCTAATATTTTGGTGATGAGGCAATGGCATTTATTGTGATAAAAACGCCACACAAATTTGCATTAGCCCAATGGACAAAACAATAGCTATAATAAACTTCATTCAGTAGCACACATTAACTTTTTTTTTATTAATATTATGGTTTCAGTAAATCACATCAAAACTGAGTATCAAACTCTATTTCCTGAGAACAGTACATCACTCACATCCCTTTCCAGGATATTGAGACTTGAGGTATATCATCATTATTTATTGTATTTCAAAGAATTCTCTTTCCTCAGAGATAATGAAAATCTGATATCTGTAAAATTTTAATATGATGAGGCTGAAGGTCATTTTGAAAAATGGTATAGATCTTACCTAAATGATTTAAATACGGTGATATAGGGTACGTTCGACCTCTAAAATCAATATTATGAGGAAACCAAATTATTTCGTCTCGATACTGAAATATAATTTATCGAATGGAGTTTTCTGTACAGTAAAAATGTATAAACTATAATGTGAAAGACCATGATATTACCGTTTGAAGGATAAAAGTTTTCTTGTATTAATATGAACAGTAATAGATCATGATTACATTCCTATCTTGTCTGACAATAACCTCCTATGCAGATAGAAGAAAATCTTCTTTAATTGTTAGGCAGAAGTTACATCTGGGTTATAAAATATAGTTTGTAGCCTGTTAGTTATCTCCCTTAAAGACTCTATCCTTCGTAAACAGGAGAAGTCTGGGTGTCCGAGACTAGCCAGATGTCAACAACAAAGACGAAAATAAAGCTATTGTCACATGACCTAATAATTGAAAGTATTTGATTTTTCCGCCATCTGCATACAAGGTTATTGTCAGGCATAGTAAGAATGGCTGACTTATTTACAACTGATTTGATTCCTGAAAACCATCTTGAGCTCTTGTCGGGTGCTGTCATGACAAATTGACGGCGGGTCAACTTGACATGAGCGTGTCATGTGACCACCTACTTTGAGTTTCATGGAACTTTGCGGGTTTTTGAAGACGTTAGGCCTGAAGACAATTTTCAGCTAAAATATGCAAGTTATTGGTAGAAATTTGTAGGAGGAAAGTGTACTTCCATTCAATATAAACATCTTACCTTATTGGCTACAGATAGACGATATAACTCAAAAGATCTCAGTGACCAATTTTCAGCCCTGAGTCGAGCTATATTCGATTGTTCATGAAAATGAGCTGATCGTTCTTGTTGTGTCATATCTGGGGATCTCCTACAATTAACATTATCAATATTAAAATAGGACTACTATGAAATTATTATTTTTCTAACATTTTGTATATAAGTCACTTCACCATTTCATAACCCCACAAAACCAGGCCCTTAACTAGCCCAGGGGGGGTTGGGAGGGGGAACAAAATCTTTGAAGGGGGGCTCTCAACTTTTTGGCTCAACAGGTCATTCAAGTCATCTAAATTTTTCAGGGGACATCCCCCCCTTAGTTATGAGCCTTGCACAAACAATAACAAAAATATGCATGTCAAGAATTGGTCCAATTCATTTATTCTAAATTAACAAAAAATAGTTTCAAATATAATATGGATAATACTTTCTATGTTTATATTGATAATTTGTTGCCAATAACAACAGGTCTTCAGGTAACTGTTATCTGATAAAGACTCTGTTTTCAGTAACAAGCGTACAGATATCAAGGTTTCTTATAGTCAGCAACCTGTTAAATACTTACTTAGTACGGCTGGGGATAGTATACAGATATCCAGGTTTCTTATAGTCAGTAACCTGTTAAATACTTACTTAGTATGGCTAGGGATAGTATACAGATATCCAGGTTTCTTATAGTCAGTAACCTGTTAAATACTTACTTAGTACGGCTAGAGATAGCGTACAGATATCAAGGTTTCATATAGTCAGTAACATGTTAAATACTTACTTAGTACGGCTAGAGATAGCATACAGATATCAAGGTTTCTTATAGTCAGCAACCTGTTAAATACTTACTTAGTACGGCTAGGGATAGTATACAGATATCCAGGTTTCTTATAGTCAGTAACCTGTTAAATACTTACTTAGTACGGCTAGAGATAGCGTACAGATATCAAGGTTTCTTATAGTCAGTAACCTGTTAAATACTTACTAAGTACGGCTAGGGATAGCGTACAGATATCCAGGTTTCTTATAGTCAGTAACCTGTTAAATACTTACTTAGTACGGCTAGGGATAGCGTACAGATATCCAGGTTTCTTATAGTCAGTAACATGTTAAATACTTACTTAGTACGGCTAGGGATAGCCTACAGATATCCAGGTTTCTTATAGTCAGTAACCTGTTAAATACTTACTTAGTACGGCTAGGGATAGGGTACAGATATCCAGGTTTCTTATAGTCAGTAACCTGTTAAATACTTACTTAGTACGGCTAGAGATAGCGTACAGATATCCAGGTTTCTTATAGTCAGTAACATGTTAAATACCTACTTAGTACGGCTAGGGATAGCGTACAGATATCCAGGTTTCTTATAGTCAGTAACCTGTTAAATACTTACTTAGTACAGCTAGAGATAGCGTACAGATATCCAGGTTTCTTATAGTCAGCAACCTGTTAAATACTTACTTAGTACGGCTAGGGATAGCGTACAGATATCCAGGTTTCTTATAGTCAGTAACCTGTTAAATACTTACTTAGTACGACTAGGGATAGGGTACAGATATCCAGGTTTCTTATAGTCAGTAACCTGTTAAATACTTACTTAGTACGGCTAGGGATAGGTAACTCTGATTGGGGTGGAGGAATTTCTAATTTAGAATTTCCTTTATCATTGAACATTCCAATGGCTATATCCAAAATCTACAATAGAATCATTTCATACAGAAACAAAATATCAAAATTTAACTATGTGTTGTAGAGTCAATAGGTCTGGTAAGAAAGATAGCTTGCCAGGCATGGTAATATACGCCTAGTGGCAGCTTTGATTTTAAATGAAAATATTTTGTAGTACGGTAACAATCACCAGTATGAAATATTCAACCTTCAGTCCTATACTTCTTTTTAACATTTTTGGATGATTATAAAACCATTTCAGTTACAACTGTATACTAGTTCCATCAAAATCCATCAAGAATTGTGCCTTCTAAGTGTTTACAAGCTAAAAATTGAACGCATTTTTAAGGAACAAGGGCAATAACTCATATTAAATATTTAGATTTTTTCTGATTTTCAATAGGGTGAATTCCTGAGGAATAACGAACATTCACACCAACTTTCATCAAAATCATTCAGCAATTGAATCTTCTAGAGTGTTTACTAGCTATTGTGGATAGACAGATAGACAAACAGATAGACAGATATGGGCGATGCCAATATACACCCCCCATTTCATGGGGTGATTCAGGCAGCAATAACCAATCACAGAAGACTTTTTGATGGGATCACCTATACCACTAGTAGTACAGCGATTCATTTGATGTATACTGAACTTGGTGTAATAAATAAAAAACTTTACATCAAGTTTTTTAATGTACTGCCTTCCACCATTTGTAGTTTGTTTCTTCCCCTGATGATGTCAAAACTTTTTTGACGAAACGTTGGATGGTATTTGATGTCAAGTTTTATTATTTATTACCCCATTTCATGTGGGCGTTTAAAAAATCATTTATGTGAAGGGGTCAGGAGGAAATAATAGTTTCTTACTGGTTTGTTGATCTTCCAGGCACAAGATGCTAGTGAATTGAGTGAATCAAGAACTGGATTAATTTGTCCAGCAGGTAGATCTTTTATTCGATTTTCTTGCTGTTTGTATACATCCGAACTTCTAACTAATTTCACTGTAATAAAATTAATATGTGGCATCATTATTAGCAATGTGGACTCTCTGAAAGACAAGAATCCACATGTAGTGTTTTTGAAAGTTCACATGGATTTTTTTTACCATCTGGTTCTTGATCAAACCTCTTGGCATTGATCTTTCCCAGATTATCTGTAACCATTAACACCTGAGGTGAGTGGAATAAGAAGGAAACATGAGGTCACCAGACTTTCATGCGCCATCCAAGATAAGAATCCACAACCACCATTTGTTTAAAGTAACTAAGTCAAGAGGTTTTATAAGTTGAAGATGTATCATCAAGTAATCTTTCCTACTTGTTACCATGGTAAACTAACTGACAGTTGACCCTGTAACATGGGGCATCATGCAGGGTTCATACAGCACTTTGCCTCAAAAATTCAAAGACTTTTCAAGGACTCTGGGCTTTGAAATTCAAGGACTTTTCAAGGATATTAGTCTGACAGAATACACATGTACCTTACTTCTGAACTGTGAAATCAATAAAGATAGTTAATATTTGTCAATGGGGTTAATGATAAAAATATACACAATTTGACTCAACTCAAAATTCAAGGACTTTTCAAGAGAAAATGTTTTTTAATTTTTTAAAGACTTTTTTTTAAATCAAGGTTACATAATACATAAAGGAAGTGGGGATCACAACATGGAAGGTGGAAGAAGGGGGTGGGGGAGGGTTGGGTGAGTTAATATCATGGGGAGAGGTTTATAATACACCTACCATTACATAGTACAAGGCCACCATGATATAATTTCACCCAAGGTAGTGGCGGTGATAACATCGGTAAGTCTCCAGCTTTCATAGGAATATCAACTGACGGACATTTTTGATATAATTTACTGACCACATCATTTACCTAAAATATCAACTTTCAATATCAATATTTGTTGTATTGGCTAGAGGCTCTTCCTCATTGCACACTGCATGTAGAGAGTAGTGTCTCAATACAAAATTCATATCTGTCTTGATTTGAGTTTCTGCATAGACCATTTACAAACAGTTAACGGTCAAAATATACAGCATCAAATCATACCTTTCATTGCCATCTACAATTCTAAAGCTAAAAATGCCTGTGTGATTGTCAAATGCTTTTATAAAGATCCCCAGGACGAATTCCCTAACATCTATACTAAACTATTGGTAGATTAGATCCCCTTTCATTAACTCCTTGAAACAATCGCTTTGCATTTCTGAATAAATTGTTTATCTTGTAAATCTCTCCAGAAGTAGGTAATTTTCTATCAAATTGATGTATTCCATAGTCCCTACTTGTGACCTAGGCCAGTGCTTCTATAAGAGAGTTTTTCTTATAAAACCTTATACCCACCTTGATTTCTTCAAACTGTTTCCGTTCATTGGATCTATATATAATACACACAGCAGGCTGCAGTTTTTTTTCTTGATTACTGAAAATATCAAACATGATATATCATCCACAACTTTACATTCAAGGAATGAGTGATATTGTAATATGGTCTATAATATTGTGGTCTGAAGATATCAAGTCTGTATTAAGAGTTATCTCCCTTGAGTGGTAAGCCTAAATAAATTTAGTAGTAACAAATTGAGAAATGAAACTGAAATATATTGGCAATATATTGGTAGCAGTAAGTCATCTTTTCAGACGGTAAAGAGTTTGTTGTCTGTTAGGACAGTGGAATAGCTCAGTCAGTAAAGAGATGGATTATTGTCTGTAGAGAGTTGGATTGTTGTCTGGAAGGACAGCAGAATAGCTCAAAGAGATTGTTGTCTGCTAGGAAAGTGGAATAGCTCAGTGAGTTGGATTATTGTCTGCTGCTTGGACAGTTGAATAGCTCAGTCTGTAGAGAGTTGGATTGTAGTTTGCTAGGACAGTGGAATAGCTCAGTCAGTAGTGAGTTGGATTGCCGTCTGCTAGGACAGTGGAATAGCTCAGTCGGCATAGAGATTGTCTTCTTCTAGGGCAGTAAAGCTCAGTCTGTAGAGAGTTGAATTGTTGTCTGCTACGACAATAGAATAGCGCAATTGGCAAAGAGATTGTCCAATGTTGGCCAAGAGTGAGCTTTCATGCCCTTATACCCAATAAATGGAAACTGAGCTGTGGGTGCCAAAAGTTGACAGTATAAAGGTTTTACCTTTTATTGAGTAGATTTCGATCAATTTGTATATTATTAAGTATTATATCGTATAGAGCAGAACCAAGCTGTAAAATATCAATCACATCATCATTATAGTTCAAGCATAAAGTCTGACGATCTCCTCGACCCAGTGGCTCAACTAACAGAGGGACTGGTTGAACCAAGACCATGGACCAAAACCTCCGACAAAAATCAGCGAAGTAAGAATCTAAATGGTTAACACACAATATGAACTTATGCTGGGACTATATAGGGCCTTAAATTGACTTACAATTAGTTTGTGATATCAGCATCTGCTGACGAACGTTTACTTGTCATCTACCAACCAACATTACAAATGGGTCTCAGAATGCAGAAGAGCTTATGTTAAAAAATAATATTCCAAGGGAGGGGCCTCAACTCACGTAAGTCCCAAGGACCGTCACTCCTCTAGTTGAGCTACTGCCTTTCTCATTAATTTCAACACAAATAGAACTGATCAATAACATAATAGTCTGTTTATTAAACATATTTATAAATAGGCATGATTACAACTTCCTGTCTTTTTTGTTTTCTTTTAGTCTACATAGTAATCTAACAAGATTTCTACAATGGACCTGTCCTAATAATGTTATTTTAAACCAATCAAAACATGTCCTGTAGGACCCGAAACTTGATAAAGTAAGGAATTGAAGGATATCAAAACTCAAAGAAAGCTGTAATATGGCTCTACTTCATGTATCATTACCCCAATAATTTTTTATAAGAAGCGACAGAGACAACCTACCTTGTACTGAAAAACATCTAGCCATTCATCGGGTGGGGCGTCCTAAAATAAATAAAATAAATTTTACCATTCTGCACTAATTGGGCATGCCAGACAGTATGCAATGAGGGAAATTTTTTTCAAAATTGAACTGAAATGAATGGAGGACAGTAGCAAACTCTCTGTTTCTATACTTGTATCAAGGATCTTAAAGAGGTTTTTTTAAATAATGCATGTGTATCAGGGACAATGATAGCATCAATTTGCACCATTCTTATTTTCAATCAGATGTCTATGGTTCCTGCAATTCTACTAAAACTAAGTGTTTTATGACGTCACCCCTGCAAAATTTGCTTGTATCATATAGGATCTTTGTAGGAGTGACGTCATAAAATACTTAGTTTTGGTAGAATTGTTAGAACCAAACGTCTGATTGAAAATTGGAATGGTACAAATTGATGCTATTTGTGTCCCAGATAAAAAATTTAGAAATCCTCTTTACAATCTTTCAATCATTATTTAATACCTTATTAACAGTGACAGTGGAATACCTCAGTTTGTAGGTACTTATATTGTCATCATCTTCACAATGTCAAGATATCAAGAACTGCATTTTATACCTTGACTGCAATAGCCATCTTTCTTGTATGACCGAATCAACGATTGGATTCAATCAAATACAGCCAATCAGAGACCTCGAAATAAATCCTGTAAACATTCTAGCTTCTTGTTTACAGCCTTTCTGTCAGAGGGCTCTGATTGGTTGTATTTGGTAGGGTACAATCCAATCAAATCGCTGCATTTAGTTACTTCCATGATACAAGCTGGCTGTTGCAGTCAAGGTATTAGACACAGATCATAATGGCTTGACATTGTGAAGATGCATCTGCCAGGTAATTAGGTGCTGTGAGTTCGAATCTCCTCAAAATAAGAAATTTTGCTTTTATATTTCTGTCTGCAGCCCTACTGAAGTTTGACAAGTAGTTCAGAGGGACAATGGTGTATGGTGTTTAGTTGCAGCATTATAATTGGTCCGTTGTCAAAATCCCCCTGACGTGGGGCTTGGTTCAGACATGATGCCTATAGGCCTGATTCAGACACGATGCCTATAGGCCTGATTTCAGATGGTTGGTTTAAAGTATTTGTCTACCTACCACTGAAGGCCCCTCTGGATGTTGATTTAATATAGTTTCCCAGCATTCTCGTTGAGTTTTGTACTGAATATTGGGATTGTTATATTCTTCTAGGTATTTCTCAAACAAGTTACTGATCTACAGACAAAATATATAATATTATAAATATCAAAACAGAACCTGAAACATGTTGTTACAGAGAATTGTGCTGGCAATCTTTAGACAAATAATCTACAGATAAATACATAATATAAATAACAAAACAGAACCTGAAACATGTTGTTACAGAGAATTGTGCTGGCAATCTTTAGACAAATAATCTACAGATAAATACATATTATAAATAACAAAACAGAACCTGAAACATGTTGTATCGATACACGATGTCTCAATACGATACGCGTATCATCCATTCACCGATATATCCTGTCAACACTTTCTTCTATAAGCTTATTTTTGCACCTAACAGGCTAATGAAAACAGACAACAAAATTCAGAGTACAACACATTTTATCAGGACACTGGCATTAGCCTACTCTTTTTCTATTTCCAACTGTCGAGGGATCTTTAACGAGCACAGCCTGTAGCATTTATGTCCCATCTGAATGACTAGACGTGTTTCAAAAATAGAACAGAACAGAACTAATAATCACCTTATCTAAAACACCCGACCGTTTCTTCTCTTCAATGAAATATGTCTGATAAACTCTACGTCCTAGATCAGAACACAACGTTCTCAACAATGGTGAATATTCCTCAGGGCATATCGCTAACTTTCTCATTTCCTACAAAATTTAAAATTAAATTTTATACAAATTTCCAACAAAGTCTGACAAAATAAAATAGATTTATTTGCTTTATATCATCTCGTGTATTCTATTTTTACAATATGAAAACCAGAGTCCTGTTCTGTTTAAATCTCTAGCACAGCATTTGGAGGACTTTCGCAGACTACCTAGATTCTCCTTCATTACAACCAATGTTAAGGTCTGTTACGCTAACAACAGATACGGTCTTTTCAAGTCTGAGATTTAGTGTAATAAACGTTGACAACTGACAACCCCAAAGAGGGTACAATAGGGTAGGACGTGATATTTTCCAATCAATGCTGAGATCGTTTTGAGGTTACGTAGCCCGGATCCAGGCCAAGCTTCATCAAATTTTCTTAAAAGGGTCACACAAACCCATTGCAGAGTGCCATCAGGTGTAAATATACAGAATAACAAACCTTTAAAATAATATCCACGTATTCCTCTTCAGGTAGAATTGTTAAAAAGGGGTATATAAGTGATGGTCTATTTTCTGAAGAAAGAAAAAAGTTTTACTTTCTTTTAACAAGTGGTTGCCTAGCAAGATACGCCCACTTTCCTGATACATTTTCACTATCACACAGGCAGTCACCAATCTGTGTCAAATCATACCAAAAATCTAATATGTACACACAAAATTCAATAAAATTCGGACATAAACTGTCACCTTCATCGCGTTCACAAGCCAACAAATATTGATGTGTTTTTACTAAGTAAAAACCGTTCATCGAAAGATAGTCAAGTTCGAACTTGTCCAAGATCTCACCAATATGCCAATGACTCCCGCTCTATGATTTCCTCTCCGAAGCTAACAGCCGGTTGGTGACAGATAAGCCTCAGCTTGTTTCCGAAACCCTATTTATATTCTGTAAAAATTATATTTATAATAGAAATACTGTTTAAATCAAAAATCAACCGGCACCATCTACCCTTGGCAACAACCCTGAAAACTGACATTAAGTTTATGGTATCTTTATGGTGTATGGTTATAGTTATATACAATGTTCATGGATTTTGTACATATGATATAACAACAAGAATTTTTTCATCTTATAGAAATTAAAAAAATACCCGAATCACCTACCAAAATTAAGTATATTGTGTTTTGATAGTTTTTTACGAAAGGCTCTCGCAATGGCTTCCTTCCATTCTCTTTCAGCTTCAGCAATCTTTTCTTCCTGAAATGATATATCAAATAAACAAATTTGGCAACTGTCTTTGCTAATTTCTTAAATGTTTCCAATCAGAATATTAGCTTGAAAACATCACTGTTAGTCGTAGAGTAAGAATGTCTTTGCCATGATACGAATTTAAAGATGAGCACACATTATCACTAACAAAACTTTGTTTTTACAATAAAGTAATTCAATAATAATTTAAATGATATTTAGAAGTAGATAGAACATTAAATAAATAAGAAACACTATTATAGATATACTGCTCCTTTCTTTAATTCTGAAATAATGTTTCAATTCACATACAGGTATCTTTATCAAGCACAAAATAATGAGTAATTCCATTCAATATAAATTTACATTTTTTAGTAACAAAAGGACATTTTAAAACTACCAGTACTGTCTTAAAACTGATTAA